AAGAAAAAAGAAGAAAAAAGAAGAAAAAAGACTGTCAGCATAATTTTTTGGTTGAAATAGCTGGATGATGTCTTTAAAGTAAAACATACAAAGGTGTTTTTCTTCATCAAGCTAAAGGCTAAAGCTGTTTCTGTAATAATATACATTGCTAGAAAAATTGCAGGTTGATGCTGCAACTTCAAAACAGAACGTTACAGAACAAAGGGATAAAAGTTTAGGACTCCTCTCTTTCTGCTCTGATCAAAAGAAAGCAAGTAGCTGTGCTGCAAAAACGGGAAGCCTCATGTCATTCTCATACAGCCAAATGATTTCTGAACAGTTTCCAGCCAGTCCACTCAGGTAGGAGAAAAAAGGCAATATAGTAAGGAGGATCAGGATACAAATAGATGGATGGGAGAAGGTACACAAGTTGTGTTATCAGGCTGAGGATAATTTATCTCTCCAAAAACCTCCTCATCAGAATTCTTCCTCTGATGGAGGACCACCTGCTTAAAAATAAACAGTGTCTCCACTCCTCAGGACAAGAAATACTGAAAGCAAAAGAGAAGTTCCTCACCTCTCCTTCAGGAGTGTCAGATGGGCAGAGCATCCCCCACTGAGATGGTTGTAGTGACCGAGGACCACTCACTTTCCTTGTCTTTTCAAACTGAGAAGAGATTCTAGTCATCATTCCCAGAGCAGATATGTAAGACAAGCGGGACAATACTTGTGTCACACCTTGGCGGTCCATTTTAAATCTCTTCAGAGACCAATTTCCCTGCAGAATAAAGTTTTAAAAAAGTTATTGCAGTTTATCCCTGTCTTGACACTACATGTCTTTTTTCAGTATCTAGACAGAATGATATCTGAGGAGCTCTGCAAAGCAAATGTTGCTCATTTATACTAAACAAGTTCCTAATTACCTATCTGGATATAAAGTACCAGTTATAACATACTTGTCCTAAGTATTAAAAAAAGTTGAAACAAAAGAACTGCTCTTTCAGATGAGAGGCTACTTTGCTATTATATATTCAATCACACAAAGATTCTTAATCATCTGTCCCTCACAGGTAAATTAATACCCAAATTTAGCTAAAATATGTTATTTTCTGTTCTCCCTTTATGTATTTTTTCAAGTATTTTAAAAAAAAAATATTCTGAGTGAAATGTGCTTTTACAATAGATTCCACAAACTTTCAGTTCTGCCTTTTTTGTGATTTGTTATTTTTGTAGGAAAGACAGGTTTTTATGCTGGGGAAGTCTGACATCAAAGCTGTCTGTACTTTCTTGAAGCCTTCTGGTTTCAGAATCAAGAGGAAAAAGACTCACTGATGTGTCTTCTCACAGAAGAAGGGGGGGTGGTTAGGTCTATCCAACTTCTCTGGTAGGATTATATCAAATATGAAATGCAAAATCCATGCGTACGTCAGAGGTTTTATGTTTCAGGACTGTCACAGGCAATATCACTTGTGGTTTTAATTAGGAGAACAGAAGAGTTCAGGACACAATTATCTTTCCATTCCAAGCAGATTTAATAATCTGTACTGTAAGATCTTGAAATCTGGTGCTGCAATTTTGACTTCATGACATCTACTCCATATACAATTCCCAGTACCTGAGTCAGTGCTTACAGCAAATTTCTGTCCCAATTACTACTATTTACCCCAGCCACCATGTTACTGGTCAGTCCAAAGACAATGAAGATATCAAAGCTAACACTTTCCCAAGGATTGCCTTCTGCTAATTCCTGTAGCCTTTTTGATAACCTCAGCTCACCAATTCTAACAAATTATTTGGAGCTCACTTGCTGTACTACACTGAAATCCTTTTGGAGGGTGATTTGCTTGGCTTCTTTATTTATACATTAACAGCACAATCCCATTTTGTGATGAACAACAAGAAACCATCACCCATCTGAATGATTTTGCTATTTGCTTTCACTAGAGAAGACTATCAAATAGTCTGCAGAACTTCCCTTTCTTTCCTTGTTACAGGAAGTGGGAAGACATAATGACCAACGGCGAGTCAGTCAAAAGAAACCTGTCCACTTGCTCAACCTTCTCGGGAAGGGTTCACTCACTGACCATTTTATTCTTTAAGGACTGAGAGTTATCAGAATATAAATGGAAGAATACAATAAATGAGTAGGTTTTCCTCATGCTAGAAATGATTGCATCTGCAGTATAAACTAGCACGTATTTTCTTCTTCACTGCCCAGAAGGCTGTGAAATCTCAAAGACTGGAGGAACAGGGAGGTAAAAATGCTGTCTGAAGAACTAATATGAAAAATTCTTCGTGCTTTGGAAGTGACAGACTGACTCCTTCAAAAGTTGTCCAAAAAACCCCAAAATGGGGCCAAGGCTGTTGTGACACCATCCCCAGTGGAGAACTTCCTACTGAAAACTCCTGTGAACTGAAGGTTGCTCCCTCAGCAGCATCAGATGATTCTGCAGACGCTGAAATATCTATTAGGCCTGTGGCATTACTGCCTGACCTACCGTCTCTTCTGGTATTTTCCATGGTAAAAAGACGACCTATCACTGAACACCACTGTACAGTTGATGCTGTAGTGCTACAAATTCTTTTGCATGCTACTGGTGTAATTATGAATCTGCCGAGTTACTTCATGCTCTTTGAGACTATCATTGAAGCATTCTGGAGAGATTGGAGATTTTTGTTTCCAAGAATGATTTTTATGGTATTTGCTTAATCTCTTGAATAGTATGCACTGGGCATTGTTCCTGAGAAATTATTTTCAATGCTTAAGAGCAGATGGTGTTTAACTGCTTATATGGCAGCAAAAAAAAAGTCCAAAGATAGTGGAAGAAGGAAGACTTTACAATATTTACTGAATAGTTTGCAGATTTATCTCTGTCAGTCCAAATGGAAAAACTGGCACCAGCTAGAAGAAAGCACTAGCATTTAGAGAAACAAATCTGTCAATTGTTTTGGTTACGTGCACTGTAGAGATTTAACTACATTTGGGGCACTCAAAATTAAATAGTGATAAGCTTCAACGCTGGGATTTGTAAGTAACAGACTGTTGGTGGTTTTGGATGCAATTTGTGGAGTTAATTTTGTTTACAAGAACTGAAGAAAAACCTCAGTTTCATGCTAGGCAGAAAAGCCCTCTCAAGAGTTCCAAAGATTAAAAATTATTTAAGTTGCAGAATTCTTACCAGCTACTAAAATACTTAGACTAATCTAATTTTCTTAAAAATCATTGATTTCAAAGTAATTCACAAGCTAGTAGCTAGATTTCAGGAACCATCGCACAAACTGCTCTTTGCAGATGTGTGAGGTAAAAGACAAAGTTAGTAACTGTATTTTTGTTCTTGTCCACCAGCACGAATGAAAATCTCCATTCTAGTAGAAGGTAGACACAGGCTAAAATCTAACCAAGACAAATATTTAAAGGCCTAATTATGGGGTTTTTTTTGCAATAATACAGCATGTAGCAGTTTTCCGTTAAGTAGTTCAATATCATTAGCAGAGAAGTACTAATTTCTGTGCTGCAAATTTGCTTATACTAGCAACTTCATATGAATAAAAAAGCACCACCCTCAAAGAGCTCAAAATTCAGCTTTTTTTCCTCTTTCTTTTTGCCTACGCACTCCTCCCCCCAGTTGTCTTCTGTTCATGATGTTTTCCTGCTGTTTTTCAACCTCCTTTTGGACATATGATGTAACCTGACCCTAGCTAAATCCAGATAATAAAAAATACCAAATACCATGAACCACATAGTCAAGTAGAACCTAGAAGACAGCAAGTTGGATAAATACAAACATGATCACTATTTTAAATTTGCTTGTTTCTACTATTCCTTCACAAACACCAAAACATCACTTTGAAATAAATGGTGAAATAAAAAGTGGTTTGATGATTAATGATTCTTCAGTGAATTCCAAAAGCCCAGCCCATGACAGAGTTTTGCAATTTTGATCTATAAAGAATGTAAATAGATTTGCTTTCACGACTAAAGACAGCAGAGTCGTCAGAACAAAATTTACACATTTCCATCATTCACTATGGTGGAAAAACTTTACATACCAGAACGAAAACAAAAGTACTTACTGTGGAGATCGCATTGACCATGCCATTGGTGATTTGGTCTTGACGCATATGCTTCACCACATCAAACTGAGCTGCACGTTGCTTGGGGATAACCTGGTCAGCAATCTTTTTCAGTTCAGAGTTAAATTTTTTGAACAAATCTTCAAACAGAAGAGAAAGAAGCTGGAAATACAAAACAATTGGATCAAGGGAAAAATTATACTTCTCCAGGTCTGGGAAATGGGGGGAAGGGGTGGGCAGGGAGAAACACACATTTAATAGTTCTACCTTTATACTTCTTGTCAGTTAAAAAATATCCTGTTTCTCAAATGATATTTTTCTCACAAGTTTTTTGCCTTGTTAAATTGAAGTGCAATATTAGAGAAATTATTTCATAGTAGAAAGCAAATTAAGTAGAATAATGGCCTAAGTCTATGAATTTATCCCTTTTTGGTTTGCTTTAATCCTTCCTTCACAATATCTTAGCATACCCATCCATCTCTATGCTATCCATTTACTAATTGTTTTCCCTAAGCTGCTACATTATAATCCAGTTGATCTACTTCTTCTTTCCCAAAGTCACAAACTCTTTTAAAGATTTAATACCCTAAATGTACAACCCTGAATTACACACAAGATTTGGAGGCAATACCAGCTTCTCTCCTAATACTGGATGGCATAACAGCAGTAAAGCAGTAAGGGAAGAGTTACTTTGAGATATTCTATTATTAAAAGTGAAAAAGACTGTTTGGACTGCCCCTTCCCAGGAGGTATTTAAAATGGACAAGACAGAAACCCAAGTGACTGTAAGGGACCCTGAGGGGAAGCAACTCAGCAGCACAGAGTTTGGAAGCAGTGCACAGTTTGCTAGACCAGACTGAAGCACAAAAGGTCCATAGTTACCACTGCTGCTGGACAAGCAGAACTAAAAGAGATTTTTTAAGGGACTGAAAAGCAACCTTTGCTCTTGACAGCTGGCAAGACATATCTCAGGTTATGTAGGCAGCTTCCTCACTCAGACACACTTTTATCCTGCTACTTTCTGCCAATCACAATCTATGAAAAACCAATTACACCCACAGTGAGTTCACCTGGTTCAACACCTGCCATCTTTTTCTAGAAGTTCTACTATGTGGAAAGTGCAAGGCTCTTCCACATCCTTCCCTTGGGGAAAAAAAAAAAAAAAAAAGCATCTACAGTTTAAGCAAAGCAGCTACATAACACAGCTTACATAACACAGCTGAATTGGAAAAACCCCAGCAATACAATCCTTCAAAAATGCTGCAATTTAAACCAATTATTTCCTGTATATGTACATTAATTACTTCTACATCTTAAAAATAGCCATAAATGGAAAAGACTACCAAAGTTAGTGATCTGAGTTATTTTGCTCTCCAATCTGCTTTGCTTCTGCAGTTTGCTCAACCTGTCTTCACAGACACTAACAGCTTCCTAAAACACTTAAACTTGCATTACATGATACATTTTAAGTGTTCACAATGATTAACTTTGCAAGCAAGCAGTGTAAATTCTAAAACCTGGCAGTCCTGTTCTGAGACTCTTGTTTTACAGCAGCTTCAAGTGTCAGAAGAACTAAAAATGCAGCAGCTCCCAATGCCACAAATGGCCGCTCCCAGTGTACGAAGCACTATAGGGCTGAACAAGCTAGGTATTCAGCTACCACAAGCTAAGACATGCTGGAGTCAGTTGTACAATTTCTGTATGTGCAGAATTAAACTGAATTTTAACTGTCTCCATCAGATACAGTACCAACTTTTCCTTGCCTTCTGGAAACAAGAAAGCAAACATCTCATTCTTCTACCACTGGGGTGGGCCACTAGCCTTCATTTTCTTTCCTCTACCTATGTGCCCCAGCTGGGCTAACTAAGGCATATGGCAAATGACACTGTAAAGCAGCTAACTAAATTACAAGCTACCCTTTTCACTGGCATCACAAATGCATTTAAGAATAAAAAAATAACAAATAACACCTGGAAACTCAAGACGGACATCTGATTTGCAATAAAACACTCCCATTGGCCTTCATGAAGAGCAAGACTGGATTATATTTGACAGTCTACTCTACAAGACATAAGGCACACTTAGTGTTCAGTCACTAAATTGTAAAACCAGCAATAACACGCACTGTATGCTAACCTTTGACAAAAATGGAATCCTATTTCTGCTCTGGACAGACAGATTTTTCTGAAAACTGGTAAGTGGTTTTTAAACCTGTCCTTGGCATGGCAGAAGGTGTTAAAGACTCTCTTTCCCTTCCTGATGCTTGTAGTACCATTAGCATTTACAAGGCAATACCCTCTCACAACTGTCAGAAGAAATCCAGTCACCTGCAACTCACCTGCAATGTCACAGCCCATTTAAATCAGATTTCCATGAGAAATAAAATCATCTTTTATGAAGCATATTAGGAAGGAGAACCCACTGGAGCCTCCAAAAACTAGATTGCGAGGGAAGTATTTCAAAAGTAGGGAAAAAGTAAAAGGAAGGAATGTGCATAGTTTTAAGATGTCTGATAGTCTTGTTAAATAAGAACTAGACTCTTTTGAAAGAGTCTTCTATGACTGGAGTGCTAGAAAGGAAGGATACAGACTCTGCAGAAAGGACAGGCAGGGGAGAAGAGGAGAGGGTGTTGCCCTCTACGGCAATGACCAGCTCGAGTGCACAGAGCTCTGCCTGGGATGGATGAGGAGCCAACTGAGAGCTGACAGGTCAGGACTAAAGGGAGGGCTGGGTCAGGGTACATTATAGTAGGGGTCTGCTACAGGCCACCTGACCAAGAAGACAAAGCGGAGGAGGCCCTCTATAGACAGATAGAAGTGGCCTCACGTTCACAAGACCTGGTCCTCATGGGGGACTTCAATCACCCTCGTATCTGTTGGAGGGACAACACAGCAGGGCATAAGCAATCCAGGAGGTTCCTAGAATGCATCAATAACAACTTTCTTCTCCAAGTGACAGAGGAGCCAACAAGAGGTGCCATGCTGTATTTTGTTCTCACCAACAAGGAGGGGCTGGTGGGAAATGTGAAGCTCAAGGGCAGCCTTGGCTGCAGTGACCATGAAACGGTGGAGCTCAAGATCCTTAGGGCAGTGAGGAGGGTGCACAGCAAGCTCACAACCCTGCACTTCAGGAGAGCAGACTTTGGCCTCTCAGGTACCTGCTTGATAGAGTATCATGGGACAAAGCCCTGGAGGGAAGAGGGGTCCAAGACAGCTGGTTAGCATTCAAGGATCGCCTCCTCCAAGCTCAGGAGCGATGCATCCCAACAAAGAGGAAGTCAGGCAAAACCACACAGAGGCCTGCACAGATGAACAAGGAGCTCCTGGAAAAACTCAAACAGAAAAAGGAAGCCTACAGAGGGTAGAAGCAAGGGAAGGTAGCCTGGGAGGAATACAGAGGAACTATCCGAGCAGCCACAACTTCTCCAGGCAACTTGTTCCAGTACTTCACCACCCTCACAGTAAAGAATTTCTTTCTAACATCTAATCTAAATCGACCCTCCTTTAGCTTGAACCCATTACCCCTTGTCCTGTCACTGTGCTCCCTGATAAATAGTCCCTCACCATCTTTCCTGTAGGCCCCCTTCAGGTACTGGTAAGCCGCAATTAGATCTCCCTGGAGCCTTCTTTTCTCCAAGCTGAACAATCCCAACTCTCTCAGCCTGTCAACATCCAAGTGGAATTGTTCAAGGCCAGGTTAGATGCGGTTTTGAGCAACCTGGTCTAGTGCAGGGTGTCCCTGCCCATGCGTGGAACTGGATGATCTTTAAGGTCCCTTCCAACCCAAACCATTCTATGATTCTATGAAATCAATCATGGCGTATATTTGATCTCAACAGGTTTGAGCAGGACTTAAACATTTAACAGAACATTTAAAAAAATTCACTCAGAAAATGTTTTTGTATTTGATTTCTTGATCACAAAATTTCAAAAATCTAATTCCACATGCCATAGGGATTATAAAGCCAAGCCATCCCTCCCCTTCTCTGAGCTAATAAAGTTACACCCCCAGTATGCCAACTCGCTACTATTTGTTGGTCTGAAAAGCGTCATACTTTGCTAATTTCACTCCCAGACTCTTGGTCTGTAAGAGCTCTGACTATCTGGCAAAGCAGAGTCTCACAATAACCACATTATTTAGGTCAAGAGCAAGTGATTAAAGAAAAAGGATGGAATGCCAGTGATAATATTCAATGGATTTCATAGTTAGTCCAGGGCCTTTCAGCCTGCTTCAGACAGGAGCACTAAAGACCAAATTATATTTAAGAAAAAAAAATACTGACAGCTCATCAATTGATTTTCATTGAAAATCCTAAGAAAAATTAATAAAGAAGTTAAGCTGCTGAAATACAGTTTCACCAATTAGCTTAATGTCAGAGAATTCTAATTAGGCGCCTTGAGATTGCTATTTAGCGTTTAAGCCTTTAGAGTGCCAAATTCTCCCTTTCACACAAACTGGTTGCAAAATTAAAGACATTAGGCAGCCTTAATTATATTATCAGAACAGCTGGGATTAGGCAATCTCTGAAGTCAAGGCGGTATTCTTTTGTCACAGGGTAGAAATCCCTTGCTTTCCAGGGTGCCGGATTTTGGTGCTGTTCCATATCTCACCCATACAAAGCAAGCTGCATTAGAAACAAAAAAAAATGAGGACAAAGAACAGAGTAATGCTTAGCAAATAATGAACACATTAAGGAAAGAGAAAAGGTAGGTGAAAAGATTAAGCCTGAAATCGGTAGGTTTTGCTAACACCTCAGCTGGCACCTGGCCTACCGAGCCTCTAGTGGCAGAAAGACTAAGAGAAAGCTCTGTAAACCAGCTTGGCTAGTGGATACAACTCTGTTATCTAAAGCTAAAGCACATTTCGTACTCTCTTGTCCCATGGGGTGTGAAATTAGCAGCTATTGTTTTCACACATTTTTATAAACACAATGCCTTTTATGTCTTTACATTGTCTAGATTGCTATGTTTTTCTCCTCACATGGGAATCTTTTCTTTTTTATTCTTTATTCAAATTTTAAAACAACAGGATTTTTATTCCAGGAACACACTGGCATTAAAAAAAAAAAACCACCAATCATTTTATCCACACAAAGTTTAGCTAAACACAAACATTTAGAAACTGGCAAAAAATCTCTACACTTTTTAGTCTGTAATCCAATCAAATTAATATTACACCAATAACGTGGCAGAGAGGAATTCAACTGTTCAGCTTGAAATGAGCTTTTAAAATACCACAAGGAAACCAGAACTACTCTTAATCAAGTGTTACAACCCCAACTGCATAGTTTGCCTTGATGTAAAAAAAAAATACGCATTGGCTTTGTTATGATGATCCTCCACATTTAAAACCTCTTCCCAGTTAATTTAAAATTACTTTGGTTGTTAACATCTGTGTGAGCAGAAGCCTTTTTTTTTTTTTACAGCTTGTAGAAAACCTTTTACCTGCTCTACTTTCTATCTCTAAAAATATTAGGGAAAAAACAAACTACTCCTTCAATCCAGTTAAATAAGAACAATACGATGACAAAGCAACAACTAGTTTTACCAATTACAGTCATCCTGAACTACAGCAACAACATTACAGCAGAAACCAAATAAATCCATTACAGCTTAAAATATTTTCCCCATTAGAATATTGCACTAATGTCCTCTTAGGGGTCCTGACACTTCGGAAATATGTTCTGCTTCAGCACAAGAGTAAAAGTTTGATGAACAGTCAACATATAAAGTTGAAGAAAGGATTTTTTTTTTTCTAACAGGTTAAGAGGGTTTTTTCCCTTGTATTTGTGTGTGCGGAGTGTGTTCAAGAGTGTTATCTTAGTTTTTTCAGAAAACTAGGAAGCAAAGCACATGTTTTTACTCTGAAATGATTGCACGCTCTGCATGTGTGTGTGAAGGACAGGGCAGGGTGGGAAGGAGAACAGGAATATGAGACAATATGCAAGCACCCATCTTAAAAAGTACAAGAAGGTGAGAATTCCTAGTGGATACAAACAAAAAGGAATGGATATTGTTACTTGCACTGCAACAGAAATCCCAATACAAATTATGTGGGGAACAGAGATGCATAGCTTCTCCAGCGTGGTGCATTATGTATACTTGTCTGAATTTCTGATGCATGATCAATAACCAGAGATGATATTGACTGCCAAAACTCCAACTTAAAGTAAATACAGAGCATAGCAAAGAAGTCCAATCCTAATCTAAACTGGTTAATCAAATAACCACACATGGCAAGGAAAAATACATGCCACGGTAACTAGGCAGTTCCTTCTTAGGAAAATGTAGTTTGGCCAACAGCTGTGAACTGCCACTCTCCCTACAAAAGAACGGCGCCAGTCAGACACCTCAAACCATTCCCTCCTTCACAGCCTTTTGTTACTGCTTCTACCTCCAGTGCCAAAATTCTGCAAGCAGAGAAGTCCACGCAGTCCACTTTCATCAGTTGCTCAAGTTAACTGTAAACCACTTACTTTGTTAATTCATGCTACTCTAGAGGCTAGAAAGGCAGTTGACAACAAATAAGCAATCTTATGGGCTTTTCCAAATTACAGGAGGCTTGAATGGCTGTTCTGTGAGCTGCTACACAAGCTGGGTTCTCCATAGTAGGACAGCCTGGATCTGACATGCAGGCGATGACTTGGCCCCAGCTTATTCCCTTACTCAGTTGCCTAGAGGGGGACACTGGAAGATGGATCTTACTGCTGCCTTCTTGGCACTAACAATATTATAATGGAACTAGAACTGATGCTGCATTTACACTGCTCTGTCCTTTTATCTGGTATAAAGAGGCAGTACGGAAGTGAGAATATCGTTTATTAGTCTCAATCAGGGAAGCATAACTATGAGTTAACACAGAAAAGCCAACAAAAATAGAATGAGAGGAAAAACACTTCAATTGAGAAAACAGGGATGCTCCTTATTCTGCATCTTTTAAAAACAGATAGTAACAAAACCCTAAAAGAGCACTTTGCTCTGAAGTAAAAACTCACCTGCCCTGCCAACTCCAATCGTTTATTTCCATAGTAGTCTCTGTCATCTACTTTATTTTCTCCTTGAGCCAAAATTACTCTGCGCACCATCACTGCTGTGTATATGCACTTGGCACGAAAATTGAATTCCTTCACCTGTAAACAAAAAAATATTGATGTTTCAGGATCAGTTCCTTAGTTCTTACTCAAACACATCCATTTAAGTCAATGGGTAATCTGGGCTGACTGAGGAGTTACAAAAGGAATTTGCGCACTTTACCTTCTTAAAAAATGCTAAAAGTAATATACATTAGTGACACTGAAACAGACAGTAAATGAAAACAAATCAGAGTAAAGGTATAGGTCATGAGAATAAGGTCCCGAACTAACAGCTGATACTGCCTGGCTATGCAGAAAAAATGCATAGTATGATAAGTAGTTCAATAGTACAGCATTTCATAAACATATAGATTACTTTTGACTCAATCCAAATCTTCCTCTTTATTTTGAGGATGATTTACTTTATCTCAGCTACAAAGCAATCAAAGATGTTGTTCCCTTCCAAAAAAGCTCATACCACAATTAACCACAGAATTTTACTCCTGTTTAAAAAAAAGCAGCATTACATACAAGAACATGGGTCAGAATAGTTGATGCTAGCAGTTCTCGTGCTTCTTCCATCTTTGTTTTCTTTGGGCCTCCCCACATCCTTTGCCTCCGTACTTTGTTTCCAATGTACTTCAATGCCTGCCAAGTGGGGGAATTAACGGAGTTAATATGAGAATTGTAACCTATACAAACATTCACACAAAAGGAGATCTGTATGTATTCCTCAATCAGTGCAATCCTACTAGCTGCAGATGATACAAACTCCAAGCAAAGTGCAAAAAACCAAACACTTAGGTGATGCCAACAAAAAAAATAATCTTGAAAATGGACATAATTGATTATAATTAAATATACAATGTATTGTTTATCATATGTTGGTTACGATTGGAATGAGAAGTGGTGGAAGAGTATGATTATTACAATATTAAGAGAAAGGGGATTGCAGAGATATAGGAAAAAGGACTATATAAATTCCGAAGATATCAAGTTCATTTAATTTGACTTTTCACCTCCAGTTCTTTTCTGTACTTGCTAAGTTTCATTCAGATATTAAACTGTGAGGTGGCACTCACTTTTAATAGGTACAAATGCTACTGTGTGGCATCCACATCTGCCTCCAAGAGCACCTTGCAATGATTCATGGATTCCACTCTCCTACCAATTGTCCAAGAAATGGAATCAATCTGCAGAATTCAGGGTCAGATGAGTCAAACTATCCAGGCCAACACAGGAAGTTCCTGTCTGGAAATTAAGCCATGCCCCTGTGCCAAAAATTTACCTTCTACACTAAATGACAGACTATCCTTTCCACCTGTTGCCTTCTTCCCCAAATAGCTCACTTTCATTTGATTTGACATTTCTTGCACAGACTAACTTCCCTATTTCTGGTTTTCTACTTCCCTGGATGCTTCACATTTCTCTATGTTCCTCCAGCATCATCATTTTACTCTTCTGACTGAATTAGGAAGGCCTTCATGCTACCTCTAACCCCAAAAAGCCCCAAAACATACAACTAGAAAGAGGTTCACTTTACAACACTCAACATTATACATGGAAAGACTCAATAAAGTTTACTATGAAATAGCAGAAATAAGACTAATCTTCAAAGCTTTTTCTGGCAGATTAATATGTACATGATGGAAATGGTGCCAGCAAAATGGCCTGTGTTCTGATTAATTCAAAAAGCACACAAATGAAGAGAATTCTGGCGAGTCTTTAGCAGGATGGCAAGTAGCTATTATTGTGGGTTTTATACAAGAGATTAGAATTGGAGGAGAACATCTACTCTCAATGAAATGGTCATGTTCACATCAATGGGGCTTCTGCAAAATGCGGCATGCAATTCCTTTATAAAAAGGGAATCATCCTCAACAAACAAATCTAATCTTAGGGACATCGCTATTTGTCACATACATTAAAACATAACCCCGGGCTTTTGAAAACAAAGCTTTTCTTGACTTTTTTGCAGTTAGGCAAAGCCTCACTTTTTGGCAAGTCCTACCTCCTTAAAACCCCTCAGTTTAAAATAACCCCCAAAAAAACAAACATCAAAACACAAAGTGTATGTCGACTGCTGACACAGCAAAGTGGTCAATACCAACTGTCTTTAGATTTTTATTGCCTCTGGCCCTGTGAAAAGACACACCTGCATCTGTGTAAAAATCTGAGCTTTCTGGCATTCTTCCAGACTAGGAGCAAATGCAGCCATCACATGTTCCTCTGTGCCAATCATCTGTACAATCTCTTGGTCACTCTCAACACCCATGGCCTAGGAAAAGAAGAAAAGACAGAAATAGCACAGGCTTTATGTTAACTCACTGACATTTGCTTATGCTAATTTGGTATTGTTTGTCTGCATTACTACTAAGCAAGAGCTAGTTCTTCTCTAAGAAACTATGCCATCTGGCACTGTCAGCACATATTCTAGCTACGGAAGAACGCTAAATGGAAATCTTGATAAGCAGCAGGAACACACACACACTCTTTGGAGAGCTTCTTCTTCTTCACTGACAGGAGTTAAATTCTATGCTTTTTCTCAAGAAAAAATAAACACCAGGTAATAACAACCCTACGTGCGTAACAATGAAAACCAAGTCAGAATCTACAATAAATAAAGGAAGGTGAAATTTCTTAAAAGATTACACATGGCCTCTTACCACAAAGCAATTTTGCAATCTCAGTTGACTGTGATGCAGCACGTCCTATTTGAGAAACATTTACAATTTACCTCCTTAGCTCTCTGCATCTAGAAGATGACTTCACTACACAATTCCACTTGAAAGGCATTCTATTATTTCACTGATCCTTGGACACCTTGTTAGACTTTATACTGCGGAAAAAGCTTAATAAACTAAGAAAGCGCTTAACAGGTTTAGAAAAATCTCTCTATCAGTAAGTGTTTCAAGGTGGCAGCCAGCAGTGAAGGCCTTTGTGGATTCCAGATGGTGCTAAAGCTCCCCCCTTCACACATTTGCCTGGAGCTCTGCCATATCAAGAAACAGAATAATCTCACTAAACCTCTTCTGGCTGAGTTTATGTTTCTCAGAACTTTGTGAGGAAGTTACGTTTGCATTCGTATTATTCTTCAAACTGCCTGCCACAAAGACCATTGTAAATAATGGCCTATGTAGACCCTAGTATTCTGGTTCTCATTAAAAACTGGCAGTGTCCCAAAAAAGTTACACTTTCCTCAAAAATGCAAAATACCTTCCCTTCTTATTGCCTTCGTTGGGTGTCACTTTGCTTAACACCTAGCTAACACTATCCCCTAGCAAAACCGTTACTCTAATTGTGAAGCATCCAGCTTTTTTTCTTTTTTCTTTCATTTCTTCTTTCTTTTTCAACAAAGAAATGGTCAGTTGAAGTTCTTTTAACTGAAAATTCTGTCTCTTCATCTTGTGATTTATTAGAAATTAAAAGCCATGCAAAGTAGCACACACCCATAACAGTGTGAGAACATTCTCATTTTAGTGCAAAGCACAGATCACAATTCCACCATCTTGGACAGACTTGAGTGTCAAATCAAGACACGGTTACTTCACCAGATAAGAGTGTTTCATCATAGTTTGCTCCCACTAAGTAGTCACCCCTCTGACCTCGAGGCTCTTTTCAGAACCAGACTTCGCCCATGTGATATTACTGTATTTCATATCTCTGTTTTTCAAATATTATTACGCTTCCTCACCCTTTTAAATAAGGTCACACAGTAGTTAAAAACCTCAGCAGAGAAGTTAAAATCCTTCGTGACCTGAGAGATAGAGTCATAAGAAAGTCTACAAAAGCATGAAAGCTTCACAACAGTCAGTTTCCACGTGTCTAGGACTTAACCGCCGACCAGCAAACTAGTTCAGGAACCACAACTGGACTCACACAATTATTGCACTTAGCTTACAGAAGAACAAAATTTTATTAAGGGAATCTTTGTGCCATTCTAGGCACATATACCAGGAATGAATTTACCTAAGGCACATCGCATGCAAGCTGATATGGTATCACCCTATTTCTGTCCACCATGTTAATTTTAGAATGGCAACTAGATCGTAAGAGTCATGTAAAAAGTGAACAAAACAAGTGGGGGAAAAATAAAAGTCTACCTGCAGTTTTATTATGCACTTTTGTCTATTGAAAAACAGAAAGCCACAGTAAATAAAAGAGGGTTGATGATTTCTTCTAACGATGAATTCTCTGATCAAAAGTCTGATGACAAGAAGATGAGACTAGGACATATCATTATGGCCGTGTAGATTTTCTATTTGAAGTTTGTAGCAGCAAACTCTCTTGAGAATTCTGAATCTGTGTGTGGGAAAGGCTGAGGTCTGCCACCAAACAACGTATGGTTAGATAAGTGCAAACTGGGGGAAATTAAATTATGAGTAACAACTAAAAACTTAGGCAAATGACTGAAAAAGATGTGCTGATACAATAGCCATTTAATCTCCTCTGTACTCTCAACAATCATGGGCAAAGTTGCACACACAAATCCACCTGTATGCAACACTTGCACACACAAATCCACCTGTATGCAACACTAACAGGACAAGCAACAGGCCCACGCTGGTATCAGATATATTTGTAATCTTATCACTTTCTTTTTTAGTAAATTTGGCCCTGATGTTGCACTTCTACAAAAACAAAACAAAAAGCACTCAGGAACTGGCCTGTAACATCACTAGAATAGTAACAAAATATTCCTGGGGTTGTTGCTTGTGTTACAGAAACACCAAGAATACGCAAAGTAGGAATAGGTCCTATGTTTAAAGTGCTCCTGATCACAGGACAAAGCTGAGGGAAAGGGAATTAACATAAAAGCAAAGCAGGAGACAGGATTGAGTCCTGGGATCCAGTGCACTCTCAGCAAGTTTGCCGATGACACCAAGCTGTGTGGTGTGGTCAACACCCTGGAGGGAAGGGATGCCCCATCCCATCCAGAGGGACCTTGACAGGCTGGAGAGGTGGACCCATGCAAACCTCATGAAGTTCAACACGGCCAAGTGCAAGGTCCTGCACACGGGTTGGGACAATCCCAAGCACAACTACAGGCTAGGTGGAGAATGAATTGAGAGCAGCTCTGAGGAGAAGGACTTAGGGGTGTTGGTGGATGAGAAGCTCAACATGACCTGGCAATGTGCGCTTGCAGCCCAGAAAGCCAACCGTGTCCTGGGCTGCATCAAAAGAGGTGTGACCAGCAGGTCGAGGGAGGTGATCCTGGCCCTCTACTCTGCTCTCATGAGACCCCACCTGGAGTACTGCATACAGCTCTGGGGGCCCCAACATAAGGACATGAAGCTGTTGGAGCAAGTCCAAAGGAGGGCCACAAAGATGATCAGAGGGCTGGAGCACCTCTCCTGTGAAGACAGGCTGAGAGAGTTGGGGTTGTTAGCCTAAAGAAGAGAAGCCTCCAGGGAGACCTTACAGCAGCCTTCCAGTACCTGAAGGGGGCTTACAAGAAAGCTGGAGAGGGACTGTTTACAAGGGCCTGTTGTGACAGGACAAGGGGTAATGGCTTTAAACTAAAAGAGGATAGATTTAGATTGGATATAAGGAAAAAAATTCTTCCCTGTGAGAATGGTGAGGGACTGGAACAGGTTGCCCACAGAAGTTGTGGATGCCCCCTCCCTGGAAGCATTCAAGGCCAGGTTGGATGGGCATTTGAGCAACCTGGTCTAGATAAAGATGTCTCTGCTGATGGCAGGGGGGTTGGAACTAGATGATCTTTAAGGTCCCTTCCAACCCAAACCATTCTATGATTCTGAGACGTCCTGTTCATTTTTGATTGGAAGGCAGTGTCATAAAAAGATAATTTTATGGGGAGCATGGAGCGGAAGGAGACATTGCAAAGGGATAACTTAAGAGTAGCAGTGAAAGAATGAGGAAGAAAACGGTAGCAAGCTGTTAAAGAGCATGGTTGGAAGGCTAGTAGTCAATGGATATAAGACAGACAAGTCAAATCAAACATTCAGATTATTCAGATCATCCTGAGTTCAACTGGGAGAAAGTGGTCCAACTGGGGTCAACTGCTTCCTAGGACGGGGGAGGTTCCTGCTGCCCAAAATGTGTGTGCACACACGTGTGTGTGCACATGTACGTATGAGAGAGTGTGCATGAGAGAGCGTGAGCCCAGCTCTTTCTCCCCCAGCTTGTGTCTTAATGATGATGTCTAGGCGTTTCCATGGCACTTCCCTAGAATGTAGTTCTGCAGTCCATCAGGCTAAATTACAGAACAGAGACAGGCAGATGACTGGATTAAAAAGATGTCAGGGAAGTTCAAGGTTGACATCACAGACAGAATTGGTCTGGAGCTTTCATAATTCAAAAGATACGAGCTATGAAACTGCAGCCATGGGAACCCGTAATTCCGCAGATCCAGTAAGACCACCATTCAGCTGTTCCTCTAGAGTTGCATCTTAACAGCTCCAAGACTAACACAGGTTTGTAAAAATGAAACTCGACCTGCTATTCAAATCTTTTGCCGCAGGTCCTAGAGCTGCTCCTTATAGGTCCCACATAAACTAAAGATACTTCACCTAGCGATTCAGGTTGTAAAATTCAGCTTTTAAGTCCCTCTAGGTTAATTATAATTCTCTTCCTTCCCCAACCAGTTTTGGTGCAGCATGCAATCTTCATTTACTTCAGCTCCCAGGACTCAATCAACTCTACTGAATCAAGATTCCCACACCAAAAAGAAAAATAGCCCTTACCTTAAAACAGCTCTAACTCCTGCAATGCAGGGAGCTTCCCTGAAAAAGCAGCAGCACCACCTCACCTGTAAACCTGATATTTTTCAGGAAAGAAACACCCTTGCTACACAAATATTCCATACCTCCTCTAATGCTTATTGCTACCTAACACTGTCTGAGCCCCCCCGATGAAAAGTGTGCGTGGCTCATAGCCTGACATATTAAAAAAACCCACTATGTACAGTTCACACAGTCCTATGATCCATGACAACTGACACACAGCTAAAACGAAGGTCTCGTGGGGTTGCAAGTCAACTCAGGACATCCTAAATACTATACTAGTTGCACGTGTATATTAACTAATGAAGTAGTGTTACACAGTAAGCAGGAAGCAAATTAGTTGTGTCTGTTTCTCATTACAAGACAGTTAACAGTCCTTTAAAAACCTCAACAAATACATACTTTGGGGGCAAAATTGTCCAATTTATATCACTACTTCAAACCAAAACCTGCATATATAGGGGCTGCACAAATGCTTCTGTCACTTTCAAAAAAGAAAGGTTAGGGGAAAAGTGTTTAAGCTAGCACAGCCACAAAGCACTAACTCCCCCACATCTGAAGAGCAGACACTCCAAGTCTGTCCTGGAATAGTGCCAGGATCATGCCTTTTGTAGCCTATCAAATTTCAGTTAGCTGTGGTCAATGTGCTAAACTTCACAAAACCGCAACTTACATGTGTTTGGCACAACTAGCTGTTAAATCTCCAAATATGCCAATCACAAATATCCTTACAGGTCTGGATGGCAGAAAAGCAAAGCAGCAGCAGCAGGTCATTCATGCTTGCAGTTTAGAAGAGACTATGGATAAGGATGAACTGCAAGGCAGATGTCCCCTTTAGGGTGACCCTACACAGTCCAGTTCCCCTCACTTATCTAGATCAAGGGACCTTTAGATCTACACTATTTCCACCCCTCTCCACAGCCCATGCACCTGGGTTTCCTTCCTCATCATGAAAGAAAAGAAAGGATGGGGAACACTGTATGTTCAGGTCTTGCCCTAGCATGCAACTGTGTCCATGCAACTCATGTCTGAAACACAAAAGTGCTCTTAGATGCTAGCTAAAGGCAGCTCTTTACGAATTTTAGGCTTCAGCTCTGTCAGTGGGTGGTGTTTTTAATGCTCTCTACTTCACAGTCCTTGCTTTTGATGAAGGTGTCTAAAGGATATTAGTACACCTTCACTTTACAGTTGCAGCAGCTTTAAATTCACATTAGATCACAGATCTCCAATACTTACTTTCTTTTCTATAAAGTTATAATTATTTTCTCTATCTGATCTACATCTTAAATTATCTGCAGGAACACTGGGCCATTTTACACTATTGGGACTAGAAAGACAATCCAAAATTGCCCAGCTTTCTCCCATGGATGCTCAGATAGTCCCTGACAAAAACTGTCCCCTCTAGCAGGCCCATGCACAGGACAGCAGCCCTCTACCAATTACTAGTCATTTTCTTAGTCAAAACACAGAGGTCTGTGGAACTTGGTTGCAGCCTGGATGCTGGTCTGGGAGGAAATGCACAGCAATAGTTTTTTTGTCATTGCTTTCTCAGTTTATTTTTTAATTGGAAATTATACAAGCAGCTGCTACAATAAAAGTTAAGGATGCAAAGGTAACCAAAACTTCAGACCTTAGATTGTCTGTACAGCTTAACTTTGCGCCTTGCAAATGTATATCTCTACAGTACAAGAAGCAGAACACTTATTAGTAACAAAGACGACCCATGCTGCATACCCAAGGCTTGGGTCACAGCAAAAAGGAATTCCCCTTGCTTTTCCAACAAATTTCCTATGTCTAACACTGCCATGTGAGAGAGCTAAGGCTACACGGGGATCCCTAAGTTAGAGATTTTCCAGTTTCAAGGCTATAGCGTTTGAAACATTGCTTCTAGTAGTTAATTACAACAAAGTAATACTGCATTACTGCAATACTCAAGAAAGAAAGAAAAATCAGAGGCTGGTGCCTGCCTAAGAATCCACTGAAAAGACTATCTGGGATTTTTAGTTTCTAGCTGGAGATCCATCAAAAGTGGACAGAAGATCCCTGAAGTTCACATGTCATTAAAGACAAGGTAAGGAAAATGACCACTCATGAGTACAGTTCAGTGCGGACAAGAATGGAACATTCAGAATAGTTAAAATAGGTGCTACTGGATTAAATCAATATAAATCTTTGAAAAGCACTACTACCAAGAACTTCTAACAACTGTAACCCCGTATTCAATAAATAAATGAAAAATTATACAACACTATCTAGATATAAAAGACAGGGGACAATTATAGCAAGCATTGTCAGAAGATGATCAAATAGTCAGTACAATACTGCTTAAAAAAACCAACAAAACACCACCACCTCCTCAGACTTAATAACCCAGAGCAGTTACTCTTCTGTGAGCAGGTATTTATCTATACCAGCAGGGGGTGACAAAATGTAATAAAAGTCTTTAAGTGAAGGTGGAATCCAGCTGTTTGGAGCAAATGGATTAAGAGTGACATTAACACTTTCCTGCAACAGGAAAGTTGTGAACTTAATCCTGACACTTTTCTGCCCACAAATAATTTCTCAGCCTCCTTTAACACTGGTCACTAAAGGCAGATGATCTCCTCCAACTACTTGAAGAGATTAGCTTAATCAGAGATAACAGACATTTGTTTCTCACGTCTAAATCCAATTATAAAAGTATTTTCTTGTATCAAACCCAAAGCACTTCCTACAAGAAAACCAATTCTTACAACTCTCAATCAGCCAAAGAGCTGTGGTAATACAGCTGTGGTAAGTCTGTAGTTGTCAACGCCAACAAATCAGCGGTGCTGGCAGAAACTGTTTGGATGCTGTGAGCAAGTGCTGCCCTCTCCTGGCAATTTATTTCCTCGAGTGATTACCACCTCCCCAAACTTTCTGTGCTGTAAACCATTACAGTGAAGACGAAAAGTGAGCTATAGGATTTACTTCCATTGGTTGCTAGATCTAGTCAGAGGCATTTTTGTGCCCTAAGCCATCTTTTCTGCAAACAATGCCTCCAAGACTGCTGCCCAATTTCCTTCTGCACACGTACAGGGCACCAGGCTGCAAACCCACAGGCAGCAGCGAAGACTACAGGTCAGGACGGAGCTACCAGCTGTTGGGAGTAGAGGTCCTAGCCTAAGGGCTGGCCATGCCCTGCTGTCTCCTCCAGCAGTGGACAGTGCATGTCCACCCACCAGCTTTACTAGCTGTAGCCCATGCATTCGACAGCATAGACAGATGGGCTACCAGCCTGCTTCCAGTCCTGTTGGGCAGCTATGGAGCAGTCATCGTTATGCCTTCAGTTGTTTGCACCCTTGAGTTAATTAAAATGAGAGAGAGGAAGAGAGCAAAAGAAAGCAGTTCTGGCAGTTTCCACAGGCAACGAGGGCCAAGTCATGACACTGTCACCATCTTAGCTGGCCAGGGCAAATACTCCCCCAATTCTTGCCCAGAATCAGGGGTGGATGCCTCTCACAGCCTTTTGTCAGTCCCACCAGCGATCGCTTCAAAGCTACGTTGCCTGTACATGCATTCACTGCACTGAAGATACTAGTGAGCATTCCTGAATCAGACAGGGATTCTGAAGTGAAAGACTGAGGCAGAGCTCATTCACAGAAAAAGGAAGTAAACTGTCAAGAAAAAAAAGCCACTCTAGTAATCTTAAAGGATTAATGACTAGGTCTAAGAATTGCAAGACTCCCCCAAAAGCTATCAGTTTTGTTCATGGTTATAACTGGAAGTCATGTATAAAGAGCTCACGGCTGTCATATCCCCGGATCTGCAATGAAGAGTGTTGAGCTTCTCAGCAGTGTAGAAGTTGAAGGGAGGAACAAAACCAGAAATGAAGACCCCTAACACAAGTTTGAACACAGCTCACAACAAAAGAAACCAAAACCCTTCAGACTTTCTGTAGCAACAGGAGCACAGGCAGCAGTGCAAAGGAACCTTACAAAGCAGTAGGGGTAGCAGCACTTGCCTTGGCACAGCAATGCTCTCCTTGAAGAAAAATGCAGCACTTTTTCTCTTTTTTACTGTACAAGATGACTTCCCAGGAGGAAAAATGTTTGCATTCGCTAAGCCCTGCCAAGTCCTTCTGTACATATTAACTTCTCAGAGCTGCTGCTGATCTTCAATCTTGAGCTACTGTACAGCTTGGTTTTTTTGCCTTATTTTTTCCCCCAAATCAACAGTTATATTACCTTAAATATGATAGCAATTGGAATATCTTCTGACAGAGTGTTATGCCTCAGGTAAAATCTTCCTTGTTTCACAATCATATTTGTTCTGCTCTTCTTCTCATGAGTGGAACTGAAGTTGAAAAAACATATTATGTCCAAAAGAAAATTTGCACTGACTCTCCTAGAATTTTCTGTATAAAACTTATCAGGCTTGAGCAATCTTTCAGCTGAATTAATCCCACTTTCTCCTCTTTTAAAAGTTACATGAAAACAGCCAGACATCACCCCGTAACTTCAAGTTAATAGGGGATTATCACCTGTGAGGGCAAAGGTCCATATTTGACTTAAGGAGAAACCTGTATTTTAAAAAATTATATTTGCATGCTTTTATAATCAACTTGGATGTAACCAGCAAGGTCAAACTGTGCACAGGTATTGTGACAGTAATGAGGTAACAGTACTTTCTGTTGTACATTTATCCTCATCTAAGCTTACTGTGGAACAGTAAAGTAGCTAGGAGAGATGCGCGAGAGGCCTCTGGAGAAGAAAAAACAGTCCTCACAATGAATATTCACAAGCACCGTATTATACCAGTACTCAGCTTAAAAACAAAACCAAAAGGCAAACAAAATATAAATAAAACTCAGTTGAGGAGGAAAGGATAAATTTAGACTACCTTGCCATTTTCAATAATTTGTGTAGGACAAAAATATTTGATTTTTGTTTCCTTCTCAATTGCCTTTAAAAGCTTTTACACCAATTTCATTCAGAGAGTCAGACAAACAGTTACATCCCACTTCCACTATGGTAACTTCACGTTACTTGCTACAAAATTGAGACCAAATACCATCAGTTAGGAGGTGTACTTTGTTATGTTAAAAATTTGAACTTGCTTTTCCTAGTCTGGGATGAATCCTGAAGCACATTAGCAACTCCCACTGATTTTTGTGGGAATACTGTACTAACTGCTTTTGGGATTGATGTTTTAGCGTATAAAATGACAGTAGCAAGAGAGGGACATTGAATGACTATAGTTTTTTCCCATTAAACTACACTAGGAAGAAAACTACACAGCTACTTCAACTACAATGATGAACTTTTAAAGCTTTGGGTTTATCTCCTTTACGTAATTGCAGGCATTTACCATACCTGGTAACAGAAGCACCAACTGTGCCTTTTCTATCAGCTTCCACAATGATTCTGTTTTTGGATAACTGCTCTTGAATAAGAATTACTTTCTCTACACCTTTAACAATGAAATAGCCACCTATTCAATAGAAAAGAAAGATTTTGCATGTCAGTATCTTTGCACCTTACTCACCTCCTTCAATATTCTTTGAATATAAATTATTAGAAAGTAAACAGTAAGTACACAAAGAACAAAACAGGAGAGTAAATTCTCCCATACAAGAGTACAAAACTCTGTGTGAAACGTATGACAGCTACAAAAATGTTCCACTAGACTAAACAGAACTTTTGCTAGAATCACACATACTATTTAAGATCTAAGACTTTGGGAAGTACTTGGATGGAAAGAACTCACAGGCAGACCAAAAACTGTAAAGCTGTAAAAAACCCCACCCAGATCTGTAATGTAAACATACTTATTAAAAGATATTATAGAATTGTTAGTTCTACAAATTAGGTAAAAATATTGCCTGCCAGAAGAGTATATCATAAGGATGTCAAAAAAGAACTGGCCATTTCAGATGCCTGGTATCAAATAAAAAGTCCTCCGTAATTACCGACTTGCTCTCTCCAGCACTCCAGTGAGAAATTTATTACTTTTAAAAATGTATTTTAATGCCCTTGTTTTGTCTAAGACAACATAAGGAATCTGCACATGAGCCACGTTGGTTTCCTCTCTTAAATCATAGCTATCTATTAATGCTCCTCCAGCACAGCATGTCACATCACTGTATCTTGCCACCGCAAACAAGCACAGCGCATGTCCAGTGCATGATTCAAAGGTAGCAGATAAAAAACAAAGATGTTTCTTGTTATAACCGTTCATCTCTTCTCTACATGTCAAGTATTATCACGTAACACTTTATTCTTGTTTTACAAAAGGCAGGAAATGAGAGATCCCACTCTGGAGGACACCATTGTACCTCACTCTCTCCTTCCACTTCATTTTCATGAACAAACTCCATCTCTATTCCCATATAACACATCACCGTACAATATTATATATATGGTGTATTTTTGTGGTTGAAAACTCTGTCTGCAAATACCAACATTTAATGTTGTCAACCATTTCTTGCTATTTTCAAGAGCCTGCTGGTTTCTTTCAGTTACAAGCATACACTTGAGAAGTTCCCACGACAACTTCACAGTGGCAGGAAACATACCAATGGGGTATTTCTTTACCAAAAAAAGATTTAAAACTGAAAGTACAGATGGGAAAAATGAATGTGAGTGCAAACGTACCTGGATCTAAAGGACATTCATTAAGTTTGGCAAATTCTGCGGGAGTTTTCCCAGTAAGAACACAATTGGAGCTACGCAGCATTATAGGCATTCTGCAAAAAATCAGTTACACTTTTACTTTAGATTCAGATAGAAAAATATGAATAGTCAAATTCAGAACAAAAAAAATATGTTGAACAAACTGGACAAAACACGTTTAAGGTAATTAGAACACATGTAAGCTATGAACAACAGGTTTTTCCTTTAATCCTGCCTTATTTCATTGGACATGTAGTTTGAAGAGACCTGAAATTGGACGTCTACTGGCAGAAACTGTAGACTTCCTATTTAATTTTTACGCAGCTACTACAGGCATCCATGACAAGCATAGTCACTATTATTCATGCAAAGACTCCTGATCCCCAAAACCAGTATAGTCTGCACTAAAGAACATACCATTGCAGATCCACTGTTACCAGTTTTATTATGGAAAAAGCTAGTTCAGATCTGATTTCCCACACTGCAATCACACCTTCTGGCTGCAGACAGACAGTACCTTTAATACACAACCTAGGCATGAAGCTTCCCCAGTATTAGCTCTGTTTCTCTGGTGTTTTCGCACAGAAGCCCGCAGCAAGCATTTTGTGAAGCAACATGAAGTGGTGGAAAAATATTCCAAGAAACTAAAAAAATCTTCTATGCTTAGGAAGGGGAAAAAAAGAGAAACTGAACATGCACAGACTGGATACAGGGCAAAATTTCTCCACTATGAGGACAGTCAAGCAGTGGAAAAAGCTGCACAGGCAGGTTGGGCAGCCTCCATCCCATGGAGGACTTCAAGACCTGACAGGATAAAGCACTGAGCAACCTAGTCCACAAGATAAAAACAGCTTATCACTACACCTACCAAAAGCCCTCCATGCCCTTTAGTCTCTTCTACAAAAATGTGGACTTTTGATCCAACTTACAGAATTTCATTGCTTGGTAGACAGCTTGTAAGACCTATGTTCCAGGTAAGTTCTTAACATAAAGCTTAACTATTGACTCGCTTAATCGTATTTGCTGAGACATATTTTGACAAAATTAAAAGTGAGTTCTACGCAACTATTTGCAACCTCAGAGATATTTCATTCAAAATTATTCCAACAAAAATTAAGATGTGGCAGCTCTTGCTAACGAAGCTATATTTCTTTCATTCAAATCTTATAAATTTAATTTCTTGGCCATTTTCATATTATTGTATCTCAGAAGAAAACTGATGAACTCAAATGTCTGTATTTTTGAAGAGAATAAAAGGCTACTTTGTCACCCCAGTACTGTATACAGATAACCTGCTTGCTTCAGTCATTTCACTGAGAAAGTGTTTCCTAGAGATAAGAAGCTTCGTATGACAATCAGAATCTTGTATCACACACACAACAAGCCTAATGCATTGGCTATTTATATCAGAAACAGTAAGCAGTTGGCATAAGGAAACTCAAAAGGGAGTATGTAAATGCCATGACTGAAAACTCCAGTGAAACAGATGTCACCAAGTATCTAGTATTTATTTCACTTGCAAACAATAAAGTATTTTGCAGCTAACATAGGACACCATAGTAAGTCATTCTCCTTTTGAGGACAGGATCTATTTTTAAAATATCTGAAGCTATCAAAAAGAATGGGAAGAAAATGAAAAATGAAAAAGGGGAAATAAAGTTATTGAATTTCTGTGCATAAAGACACATAAAATGGGTACACTGATTCGGAATGCTATTAAGCATTCAAAGGAAGTTTTCCTTTTTAAAGACACAAAGATATTGCCCTGGGTTTTTTTGCGGTTTTCTTGTTTGTTTTGTTTCTGACACACATAGGTTATTAGAGACTCTGCCAAACAACAGAAATAAGAGAGGAAAGAACATACAGTTTTCCTGTCCCAGTCTGAACTGCATGTCAAACAAGAGCATTGTATATAGTCACCAGGCAAAAGAAACCCACTATAATACTAGGGATAGATGAGGAAAATTATTTCCCATGGAAATAATAACTGGGTATTAACAGTTTTTAACAGCAAAAAGACTTTTTGCATGTATGCCCTTAAAACCAGTTAGATGATGTAACTTTATTTTTTAATGGACACTATTTACTTTTTTTGCCATGACCTCGCTTTATAGGAGAAAGAGAAATTTAGAGAAATAGGCTTTAATGCAAGATGCAACATACTAGCGCTGTGCAGTAATTTAGTCTTTTCCAGTATATTATGGATACTTTACAAGTCGTCTTCACGCCTTTTTTTTTTTTTTTTAAGAGAGCTGTAGACAAATGTCTAGACTAGTTTTTGTTGTGCTTCTTTTAGCTATAACTTATCCTTTAAAGTACTGTCTTTTGTATACAAACTAATAATGTATTTTGGTGAAAATGCACATGTACTTGAATGTTTTTCTTTGCCTATAGCACACACCATGAAATAATTCAAAGGACTCAAATTTAGATGGTCTTTTAAAAACTTTTATTTTTTTAAGAAATGACTTGTAACAATAAACTGTCACTACAGCTACAGAAGCTTGGTTTTGTAAATGCACTGCTCTGTATCATTCTTTTTTATTTTTCTTATATGAAAGTTTAAAATTTCACTGCAAGAAATGTAGCGGCTTAAATATCTATCGGCTCTTTCTTGTTAGTATACTACCTTTGGTAAGATGCACAGTTGCACAGTAAACAATCTCTGTAAGGCACTGACCTTTAAAGCCAGCGGGGTTGGTCTTTAAGAAACCTTGTCTACAAAAGACAGACATCTTTATTGCCTTTAAAATGGAATTTTGCTTTCAATAGATGCTAGAACTGCCAGGTATTTTGCCTTTTTGGTATGGTTAAGTGCTTATTTTTCTCCCTAAGGCACATTATTTTTAATTTAAGAAATTAGATGTCCTTCACAATACTAATAACCTCAAGTTATTTGACAATCTTTAGAAAAACAAAACCAGCAAAAAAATCCTCAACATTTCTCCACAAAGCTCAGCCTTGGCTATAAACCAAACCAATTTGAAAGGAGAGCTTAACCTCGTACGGAAGAACTAATGCTTGCTTTACTGGTTTTACCATCCACCTTCCACAGAAGTACGTCTACATATTATGTATGAAAGACTGAGTAATTTGGCTACAAAGCAGACATGATTTTCATTTTGCAATAATGCGACTTGCAGATCCAGTATTCTTTCACATATTTATTTCCCTCTTTGGTTTTATATCAATACAAACATAGACAACGTCCATCCTTATATCCATCCTTCTTTGTAAGGAAATAGATGTCTAGAAGCTTTTGCAAAATAAAAATCTTAGAACAGAACCTACCAATCACATCCTGTATAGCTGTTCATCAATATTTGCCTACTCATTGTTTCTTTTAACCAAGAAGCAAGGTTAGCCTACATTTATTTTGCAGCTAAAACTCTTCCCAACACAGCAGCAAATTAAAACTAATACCAGAAGTTCAACATACGGTATCTTACCTGCCAATGGGTAATGCATTGCGTATGATCCTCTGGCTACCTCGTGTATATTCAATGTCCACCGTAATTGGGGCAGAATATGTCATGTCCCTCAGGCGGCACTAAAAGGAGAACAGTCATATGGTTAGATGTTGGCTTACAAGCTGAAGAGTCTCTCTCAAAACATCCCGTGTTTGCCCTGTCTTCTGTAAGTGCTCACAAAGAAAGCAGGCAAAGCGAAGCTTGACCAAGCTCTTCACAGTACCTAGACTTTGTTTGACAGAGTCTCCTGTTTAAAAGAAAATCAAAAAACCCCAAATACAATTATTGTGATGTTTCAAAAGCAGCCAGTGGATCTGTGTCTTCAGAGGACAGCACTGCAGAGCATAACTTCTAAACTGTTTATTTAATTAAACAGGCCTAATCAGCAGAGCTGGCACGAAGACTATATTATGCCAGAGGCACTGAGAGCAGTGCTCAGCTCAGGGACATTTCTATACGAAGACTCTCAACAGCTGCCGAGTTCTGCTGTCATATGAAGTTTGATAGAAGGGAAACACAGGAGAGTAAGAGGGATACTGTGCTACCTTATTAATAGAATGAGCAAATCTCACTGTATGGTACCATTTCTGAAGATGACTTACAGAAGGCTCACTACAGTATCACTTCCTGTAAAGATTCCCAGAATTTGCCTGCAAATTCCTCAGATAGCAAGAGAAGCAGGATATATATATCTAGGACATTATACAGCTCAAGGCTCAATTATTTCAAATCCGATCTGTCTGGTCCGCTCTCTCCAGCCTCCTCCTATGACTCTGTTGCTAGCCCTTAAGGCATTGCATATCTTCACGCAAGACAAGGTTTATTGCATTTGTGGAACACAACAGAACAATTCACAACATGTAATTCGTGACCTCACTCAACATTCTATACCTTTGAGCTCCAGGATTATAGGTTTATCAGTATTCAGACTTGTACTTTTATGGTTCTGTAGTCTTTCAGTGTATTGATTATGCATTAATAAAAGGCAATTAAGATTGTGCTGTGCATTGAAGATGCAACTGTATGGAAAAATATGCCTCAGGAATCACTGGAAACTGGATGTTCCTTCTCTCCACATTAAAAAGTAAACCACTTCTCTTGTAATAAAATACTGATGTGCACCAGCAGTTTTCAAGCTGTGAGTTGTAGGAAATTAAGTTCTGTTTTGCTCTCAGCAACTTCATTGAATTTAAAAGTAAGTGAGAATACTTCCATTTTCACTTACTTTAAATTCATCTGTATGAACAGTTCATGAAACTCCCATAAGAACTGCGTGAGAAGGAGAATTAGACAGCTTCATTAGTATTAGTTGGGGGGAAAAAAGGCTTTGGAATTCTTTGTGTGTGTTTTGTCCACACAAGACACATACTGAGGATCTTAAAGGTCTTTTCCAACCTAAATGATTCTATGATTCTACGATATAAAACAAGAATTACACAGTGTAATATTCTAGCACTTGTATTTTTTGTATCACCTTCCATGGGGTAACTTGTCCTTAGATTAGACACCTAGAGGTAAAAGACAGGCATGAATTGATCTTCAAGGAAACCAAGGACATAAAAACTTCCAAATTTGGTTGAAAATAGGTAAAATACTCAGACCTTTATGAAAATCTGATCATCTTAGGTGTCTTTGCGAAGGAATTTTATAAGCCTCTAACAGAGAAACATGATGACATACTCATAAGTAGCTAATCTTTTTGTTTTGGGTTTGTGTTTGTTTTTTTTTTTTAAATTGCAGCCCTGATTTGACCTGATCAGCATCCTATTTAAGAAAATAACTATGGCCTTCATGTGTGTGTAACACACTGAAAAAAAAAGAGAAATGATGCACTAGCATTAAGCATCAATGAGGATATATCTGAGATGCAAGAGCAGGTTGTTCTAAATTCAAGGTCAATATGCTCTATGAAGCATTTATTTTTCCCCTCTTCTGCATATGCACTTTAGTTATAAAGTAAGCAATTTAATACTTGCATTGTTAGATATGAGTTGCTGGCCACAAACAATTTTTTGCATGCAATTTCATTCATATATAAAAATTTTTTGTCGGTGCATTTTGTGCACATTCACATCTACTGATTTAACATCATCTACACGTTTGTGAGGTCCTGTATTACATCTAATTGCACTGTTGATGGCTGAGTTATTGGCCTTACTTAAAATCTTTCCATCAAACTAAATGAGATTTGAGTCAGGTCACTGAAGACAGAAACACGGCTATGCACAAGAGGCAGCCACTAGATGGCTTTTTTTACAGATTTACTCCCAAGCACAAAATATATTTATGATAGAAGGCAAAGTGTGCCACATACACTAAATAGATTAAAAAAAAAAAAAATCAAATCCAACTTCAAGTATCAAGTGTACATAGCAAGGAAAAAAGCATCTGATATGTGAACTGATTTACTAGGTTGACAACAGCCTGTATGTAGGTAAATAAGTGCAACTTCCAAGCTCAGTTCCTGTTCTGAGGCCAAAAAGAGGTTGTCAGTACCTCAATCTCAAAGCACAGCAGCAGAAGAGGAATACTTTGATGCTGAGCAATCTCTGAAGGGAATTGAATGGCTTTAGATATGTAGAAGCAATCCTAAAAGATCCAAACCTCATCCAAGCTTATGGCTTTCTTATATGTATAGAAGCTGCCTTATATCCTGCCAAAAGCAACAGACTCTGATTTCAGTTACAGAATCGTTTGTTCTCCAACATGCATCTGTTTTTTCCAGAAGTACACAAGCCATTTTTTAACCTACATGCTTATAGGAGTGCAAAAAAGTTAAATATACTCCCCATAAAGCTAATGTTCTTCTGCAGTTTTTTGTAATTTTATCAACTCCATCTGTTTCTGCCTAAAGTTTCCATGTTTGTTCTCTGACTCAGACTTAAAAATTATGAGCAAAAAATCAGAGATACGTTCCCAAAGAAGACTGCGAGGGAAAGGGAGACTGAAGTGATCTATGGTGCAGACAGTAGCAAGGCTAATACTAAAAAGAAGTTAATAAAAACATCAAAGAACACTACATTGCAGTGTGAGAACTTCAGCTCTGTCATAAGGAGAGCCACAAGATTAAGCAAGAGAAGTACTTTTCACCACTTTAATGGAAACCCACTCAAATACAGCTACCAGGAAACACTGAATACAGCTATTCACGTCAGAAAAGAAAATAAAATTAGAAAATAAAATGAAAAAAAATTACATGATGTTTAAATCTCTGAGGCTTCTTTCTACAGTGATGGTGGCATGCATTGTATCCTCTAATGTAGCATGCATGTACTCAAAGTTACATGCAGCTACTACCCAAGATATTCCCAAGATCAAACAAACAAAATCTTAATACCTCATGAGGTGATACAGGTCGTGTCACATTGAAGCTTTCTTCCACATCTGGAGTACCCACATAGATATTGAGGTACCTGTAATACAAACAGTTCCAAAATAAGCATTGAGCCAAATATTTTTCAGGCAATCTGAACGAAGCAGAATTCTGCATATACTAAAAAGTGAAGTTACTTTGATGAATGTAGCTTAATTTGTAATAGGCAATGATGCTTCCCAAAGTAACTCATTGTATTTGAGCTGTGTTCTACAAACAATAAACCTCAAGTCAAGTTACCTTTGCAAATAGACAAAAAGAAACTCCCCTCTGGCATTCGAGATTACTAAATTACAGAAAAATGGTGACATAAGGTACTGTTAACAGGTGGCTATTAAGTCTGCTTCACATGATTATTCTTTAAATCTTCCCATCTTTCAATGCTCCAAATAAGAGGTAAGTCATGGAAAATACTCTCTTGATTTATACCTACACAGGTGCCTATAAACATTTTATAGCCAATAACAAACCCATGAGATAGTGCACACACTACGATGGATATGGAAGTCACTTCATGCTTACTTCAAGTACCACATTGGGTCAGCATCACTTGTAACTTTTTCATTGGCCTTCATGATTTTCTTTATCTGGAGGGGGAAAAAAAATAATAAAATAGAATCATGTGCCTTTTCTGAGGACTTAGAGCCACTCTCTTCCCACCAAGAAGGCATACCTCTACATTGATGAAATAGTTGAATGAGTCTATGTGCTGCTTCACGAGTCCTTTCACCTGGAAAATACATGTATGCAGCAAATAAAATTAGCTTCAGTAACATTAACCATATAAGGCAGAAATTAAGATATAAGCATTTATAAGTGCTTTTGGATCTGTGCTAAATTCTTTCAGTTGACAAACTTCTGAGAACCGCCTGGATGATCAGTCTCGTTCTACACTGTACATTTCCAGGTTTACATCAGAGCTGTCATTGTCCTTTGAGTCAGAAAAGTAGTTTGGTAACTGTACAAAGTAAACACCCAATAGACTTTAAAATGCACAGAAACAAACAAGACCCATTGTAAGTCAAAATATTTTATCAGTTTGCCTTTATTTTGAAACAATTTTAACCATTTATAGTACAATTAACCATGTGTGCTGCTTGAGAAAGAAGTTGTCTGCACCCTACCAAGAACAGCTAGCATAGAGAAGAATGAGGGGGAGAGCCAATGAGACAGAGGAGACAGAACCGAAGTGGAGTGTGAATGAGAAAAGTCAATAAGCAAGAAAACAGTCACAGGAGGGCAGGACATTCATAAAAAAATCTGAGTTTGACTTGTAGGCAGGAAGAGAGAGAACATGCTCAGGGGTAATATCACACAGAATTAACAATGTCCCATTCCCCCGGGTAATGAGTTGATACAGTAGATTTCAAGGATTTAAGTTTAAGGCATTTAGAGCAATCAAAAGAAGGGGGATTATACTAAGTAAAATGATCTAGAATTAAAAAAAGATTTTGGCTTGAAGGAATACTAAGAGAAGCATTCACTTCATTAATGGATTGGCGTTTGCAGAAATAAAAAGTGTAACTATCCTAACTACAGTGCAAAATCTAAAGAGTGCTAGCTGATAACTGAAACACATGCTTACACGCTCACAGAGGGCTTTGAGCTTTGAAACATCCCATGACAACTAACATGTCACAAGACTTAAAACTTCATACAGAAACCAGATGCATTTACATAGTTCGCGTGACAGGCAACAGTTCATTCTGAAATTATTAGAAAGAAATGGGAAGCTTAAAATGACAAATCCAGCTGCTCAGTGAAGCCTCCATGGGATAAGACAAAGGAGGAATGACTCCACAGCAAAATTCTTTAGATAAGAGTTTCCCTAATTTAAAAAAACAGTGCACATCATGTGATATATGTAAGAAAATATTATGAATTTATTAGCATCTAGAAATCAGGCTGGTGTTTCTTTCCATTTTTTTTAATGAGGTGATATCAACAGCTTTATTGAAAGAAAACTTCACTATAGAAACTGTAATGCACATCAGCTTTGTGTAACTGTATCACTGCTGGCATAAATAAACCAACATGCAACAGAAAGGCCAGACCACCATCAGCAGCCCTACAGTAAAGGGCTCACTGGCTGGAAATAATGTGGGATGGATACAGCTGGCATAAAGCTATACATAATACACCTCACAATCAGCAGCCCTCCCTTTTTCACAGTCCCAAGAATTCAGACAGTATCACTAGCTCAAGCTCGTGATGGAATTTCATGTGGTTGGCTGGAGAGACACAGATATGGGATTCATTAAGGCCCTGAAGCATCTTCACAGCCCTGAACCAAAGTGAAAACATACACAATCCATAACCGACTTCTTAACTTTGTTTTCCTGCCAGGATCAAACACTCAAGGGTGCAACAAAAAAGAGAGTGCAGGTACTGGAACTGGGAAGGACAGAAATTAACAAAATGAAGCTGAAAAGAGCCTTGTTGAAGTGGGCAGCATTTCTGAAGACTGATGATGGGTGCAGAGGTGGTCGCAATTCCCTGAAGGTACCTATGCACATCACACACTTTACTTGCTCTCTTTATGATACAATTTTCATTACTGCCTCACTCCTTCCTCACTTCCAACTGTTTGTTAGTCCTGTTATTACATCCAATGGCATTTCATATAGAACTGCACCTTCAACTAATAACAGATTATATGAGTAGCACTGACATTAAGACACTAGTAATCTCTGAGTTCAGTCAAGCTCTGACATTGATGAGAAAAGATACACATATATTCAAGCCTTTGCTTGATCTTTGGTTATATGCTTATGACAAACACAGCTACAAACCTAACACGACAGTCTCATATAAAGATGATGAATGGGGTCTCTGGGTGCCAGTGAAACTGTAAAATAATCTGGAAATATTACACCATACACATTGTTCATTCAGAATGGCCACAGAAAAATGCCAACCTCTAAAAGGATGCCTCCCCAAATTAATTTACAGATTAATCAAGAAACCAATCTATATAAAAAGTTTATCCGTAATTGCATGAACTAAAAAAAAATAACTGCAAAATCCACACAGAGGGTGAGGACAGGTATTCTGGGAAATAGCAAACTCTAGAGGAGGGGGATGTAAAGTCAGAAAGGAGACAGTTTCATACCATGAAATGAATGCCTTAACACTAACCTTTAGAAATGCTGGAAGAAGTCTCCATTTTTCCTGAAAACAAAAAATAGTTTGAAATAAATTTCCAAAGAGTGACCAAGCATCTATGATGTTTGAGCTTTTTTTGGTTTTATTATTATTATTTTTAAACAGTAACATTATTTAAAATCAGATCCATTTTGAAAAAAAGACTGCCCAATGCCAATCTAAATGAGTAAAAAAAAAAAGGGAGATGACTCAGATCATCTTAGTAAGCCATATGTGCTATGCAGTATTTACTCAGGATGCAAAAAGACACTGTCTTTTCTAAAAGCAACTTCTGTGAGAATATGTATTTCTTAGAAAATTCCTTACTACCATGTAATAAGAACATTTAAGAACAACTAACTTTTTTTTTTTCATGTTGACACCGTAAATTATATTCCCACCAAGGGAAGACTTGCTACAACTTTTACTTTACCGAATACACGCAAGAATCCCAGTCCTGGGAGCAGCACTTGCAGATATGAGTCGCTGTAAAACCCACCAGTACCCTAACTCCTACAAAGGTTTAGCAAAACTATCTAAACAAATTACTGACAAGTTTAAGTATATCAAGGCTTCTACAAACCTTTCCCCTTTTCTATCCTTCACTGATCACAGGGAATATCACCTTACATCAACCCCACCTTCTACCTCATGGCATGGTGGGGGGGCCCACCCCACATTTGGGATGAGAGATGCAGGTGGAGGACAAAGGTGAGGAGCACCAGAGAGCACAGAACGAGGCTGCATCACTTAGCTCCAGAAGACAGCATACACCATATTTACAGACCACCAGTGCTTCGTAATTTCAGTTTCACATTCAGCATTTAGAAATACATGGCAATGCTGTAGATGCGGTGTAGCGTTGTCCCTCACGGGCAGACGCACGTAGAGGAGTTCACAGAAAAAAACAGCACGAG